GAAGAGTAAAAGTGAGAAAACTTGTGGGTTGAGATAAAAACAGTTTAATAACTGAAATAAAATAAAAAACTACTACTACTACTACTAGTAATAATAATTATATACAAAGCAAGTGATGCACAATGGAATTGCTCACCACCCGCCGACCAACGCCTAGCCAGTCCCTGAGCAGCGGCCTCACCGGCCAGCTTTTCCCCAGCGTATATACTGAGCATGACATCACATGGTATGGAATATCCCTTTGGGTATTTGGGGTCAACTGTTGTGGCTGTGCCCCCTCCCAGTTTCTTGTGCACCTCCAGCCTTCTCAGTCTGGGAAGTGTGGGAAGCTGAAAAGTCCTTGACTACGCAAGAACTAAAACATTGGTGTGTTACCAACATTATTCTCATACTAAATGCAAACCACAGCACTGTACCAGCTACTAGGAAGAAAATTAACTCTATCCCAGCTGAAACCAGGACAAGGAGGGAGTGCCAAACTTCTCTCTTATCGTTAAGAGCATTCCTAAATTTCTGTTCCATTGAGAGTCACACCCTCTCAGTTTTAACATTCAGTGCTGCCTTCTCCCGGTCCCTGTTAGCCCCAGTTGTTCAGCAGTTCTTCAGTCCCATTCTCCTGTCCTCCTTCTGCAAATTGCAACCATCTTGATTCATTCCAGAATGAAAGCATATTGGTTAACAAAGTTAACCAGCAAAGTTTTCTTTACCTGCCAAAGGATTCTGCCAAGGATAGCTTGTGGCAATTTAATTTCCTTAATAGCCTTTGGTGAAGCTTTTTGAAAATCCAAAGACGCTTTGTCTACTGGATCACCTTTATCTGTATTCTAATTGACACACTCACAGATCTCCATCAGATTAGTGAGACAGGATTACTCATTTCCAGCAGTGTTTATTCCCGTATGTGATCAGCGATCATACCTTTTGATAAGATCCAGTGATCTTACTATTTATTATAGACTCTTCCAGAGAGGGAAGTCATACTTCTCTGCTCCAGAGTCCTCTCAAGTTGTTTTTGTAGATGGGAGTGACACTGGCAGCCCCTTCTCATCAGGCACAGTGTCACTTCGTAATGACAGCTGCATACCTTTGCCAGCAGTTCTGCAATTTTCATATTTGCATTCCTTGAGAGCTCTGAAGTGAATGCCATCCAGGTCCAAATTCTCCATTTGGTGTAGTACTTGTGGTTTACCTTGTATTTCTTGCTGAAGAGAATGAGTTAGGTGTGGGAATCTTCTCTGCTATGGCATTGTCATCCCTTTTTAAACGCTTTTTAAACTGTTGTCATCAGGTAGTCTCTCCAGTTCTGTAGTTGTCTTTTTGGTATTTTTTTTATATATTTTCGTTTTCATCTATTTAAAGAACCTTTACCTGTCAGCCAGAACATCCTTTTACAAGGTGCTTTTCAAATCACTTTGTCGCCTTAGTTTTCTGTTTGCATTTCGTCAGCAGTATTTTATGACCTTTGCTGTCCTCCTTGTTTGGTCAAGCTTTTCATTGTTTTCGATGCTGACCTTTGCCCTTTGACAGCCTGTCAGCAGTGACCTTTGCTGTCCTCCCGTATGTGACAAGGAGGACAAGGCTGTCCTCCTTGTTTGGTCAAGCTTTTCATTGTTTTCGATGCTGACCTTTGCCCTTTGACAGCCTCCCTAACTTTTCTATTAAGCCGTATGGGTTTGGGGGAGGGTTGTGTTGTTTCCTTTTTGGATTGAGGCACACAGCATGCCTGGGCTCCTTATACAGTGTTTTTGAACAGCCTACAAGCTGCTTGCAAGCTTCTTGTTATTTGGGCTACTCTTTTCAGAGTTCTTTTCTTTATTGTCTCATTTTTAAGTAATTCCTCTATTGTATATTGAGTATCTGTATGCTGGATGTATTTAGTATGTTCTCTCCTGCTGCAGTGTTAAACTTAATCATATTGCTATTACAGAGTAGCTGACTAATACCTTTGGAATTAGGTCTGGAAGACCCAGTCTGGAATAGCATCTTTTTGTATGGGTTCTAAGACTAGTAAGGAACAAAAAGGAACTTTATGGGAAGCAAGTCATTTATCGAGTCCAAAAATGTAATCTCCACATATCATCCTGATGAGGCATTGATCTAGCCTACATGTGAGTAGTGAAAATCTCTTAGTACTACTGTCTTAATTTTACAGCTTCTGTAATCTCCCTTACATTTCCCAGTGTCTATTGTATTCGGACTGGGAGTTAATAGTACAACCTTAGCTCTGTGTTTTTATTATTCAGGTGTGAGATTTCCATAGTGTTTCTTTTTTCCCCACTGTAGTTTTATGCTATTAAACTTTGTATTTTCCTACACACAGGTCACTGCTTCTTCCCCACCTGTACATCCTGTTACTCCTCTAAAGTTGACAGCCTCACAGCACTGGGTCCATAGAGAAAACCCTTTTTCCCCAGGTCTATTTTTATAAGGTGATCATTGGATCAACGACATATCCTGTTCACTATTCTAGGCATTCTGATGCTCAAGGTGTTCTCTCTTATGAATCCCAGTGATCTTTTCTCATTGTCTGTTAAACTTTGGATTTAAGTCTTGACCTGACTTACATTCAATCTATTAAAAATCTTGATTCCAAATCATGAGTCTCATGAATCTTGGCTCCAAAATATGCCACTTCCACTGAGCCAGCAGCGTGTCAGCTTAACTCAGGTTTAGAATATGCTTGCCTAAGGTCAGTCTGCTTCAGATATCCTCACTGGAGTAGTTTTTACAGCTTTTGCTGTGAATTTTCTTTTCCTCATGAGGCACACTTGAACTTAAACTAGCTGTCAAACTCAGCACTTCATGAGTTAAAACTCATGCTCATTCGAAATTAAGTTTAGCTGGTAGCTGAAAAACTGCAGTAATGCAGAAGACCTAGAAAACTAACATTTCATTGACTCCTGAAAAAAAAAATTGCTAGTTTTTTTTCCCCCTCCACTCTTTCCCAAGCAGTGTAATCACTAATCCTTTGAGTTCAGTCAATAGTCTGTTAACACAGCAGTTAACTGAAGAGCAGGAGCTGGCAAACACGGGTTTGCTTCATTGCAGTTCATAAATGGCTGTTGTCAGATACTTGTAAATGATCAGGGATGTAATGATTTTGCTACATGATTGAAATTCTTCTGTTAAATAAATACATTGTTCAAGATCTAGAAATGCAATTTTCTACATAAAATGTTTCTGCTAACTAGCTTGTATCAAAGCCTCAAGTTTGACCTGGGTCACACAAGGAACTTAAGTTTACATTTAGATACCTACCTCTTGTGTTCTAGATTCTTCTCAGTATCAGATGACGCAGTCTTTTTTTGGTCTAACCTTAACTTAACCAAAATTACAGAGAAAAGTAGTATGCCAGACCAGCCAATTGTCCCTCATAATGATACCTGGTTTAGTATACTCTTACAGATTTTTGCGAGGGCCTCTCTCTTGTTCTAATACTGTATTCATTGGTTATTACTGGAATTAATAAAAAGTTTGACCTTTAGTGAACATCAAAGCACATCCTTCTTTTAAAGTTGATTGATTTATCCACATTTTGATGTTTGAATATGGTAGTTCTGATTTATTGACAAAATACCTTATTTTCATTTAAGTCTAAATCTCCTTTTTCCTGAATAAAGATGAAGGCAGCTTTATTCCTGTGTTACAGCTGTAGATATTAGTTACTTTGCAGTATATTGCATTTACTTTATTGAAGAAAAAAAACTATCTCTCGAGTACAGACTGTGTAGTAAGGATGTTTAGAGGATTGAGGTCAATAATTTGTCTTAAGGGTGTTTACTGTTTGTGTTTTGGTTTTCACAGCTTCATCACTGGTCCATCTGTAGTTCCTGGCTACTTCTCAGTTGAAGCTGAAAATGTTGTGCTAGTTCTGAATGGAAGAGAAAAAGCAAAGATCACTTACGCCACTCAGTGGTTGCATTACGCACAAATGTTAATTCAGACTCACAAAATACAGCATGTAGCAGTTGTGCTGCTTGGAAATGAGCAGTGCAACAATGAATGGATTCAACCATTCCTGAAAAGACATGGAGGATTTGTAAATCTACTCTTTGTTACATATGACTATGCGTTGGTAAATGAAGAAGATATGTTCCAGTGGCCTTTAGGAGTAGCTACGTAAGTGCTATAGACACAAATTACAATTGAAACTTAATTGTTATGCATGAGGTATGGAAAATACATCTGAGTGTTACTGCTGATACCCAAAACAATTATAGTAAGTAAATTGTAGAACATGATCCTATTAATGATTTTCTAAAGCAAGTGTTGGAATCTTTGGAAATCGCATTTAGCAATAAAAATTATAACAGAGGAAAAGAATGCTAGGATTTAGGGAGCTTTAAAAAAAATGAACCTGTGTCTGGTGGGGTTTTCTGTTTGTTTATTTTTTTCTTCAGTAGATTTGCTCTTGAGATTTATCATAACTGCTGATGTAATATGTACCAGTGACATGGGAATTTAAAAGATATTTATGTAATTAGGTTCCAACTACTGCTTGTTTAGGAAAGGAAAGGGATGCTACTGGTGGTACTTTTTTTTAACCCCTGTTGTGGCTCTCAAAAGGAAATTGTATGCCTCACATTTGGAATTAGTATACTACAGTATCACAATAATGTAGTCTGGCTTAACTGCTTACTCACAAAAATGTTTTTGTTATACTTACTGCTCAAACTATTTATGTGGAGTAGATAAAGCTTTGGTTCAATTAGATGTACTTTTTTCCAGCTTACTCCTTATTAACAGAGTTAATGGTGTTTTAGCTACTTATCATGGTAATATAAGATGAAAAGAATACAGAATTATTTTCATATCTTGTGTTGAATTTGAGTTCAATATCCTGTATTGAGCCAGTTGGCAAACTGTATGGAGTTTTTATACATGGCTTGAACTTGCTCACAGTGTCATTGAAATACACTAAATCTGGATTCTTGATGGTGTCAGAGAATTGACTCAACAAAGTTGAGTTTTGAGATGCCAAGATTAAGGTGACAGATAATAGAAAGCAGCAACAGTTACAACAGTAAACCAGGGTGCAAAGCTGGGTGGAGAAAGATAGGTCGGGTATTGTGATGGGGTTTGCAGCCCTTGCACACCAACAGTTGTAAAAATTGTGGTTAAAGGTATGCAAACGTGCCAGATTTTCCCAGTGAAGAGGGAAAGTAAAGGTGTAGAATCCTGCAAAAATATTTGGCATGAAGAAAAAATGGTTTTCTGAAAGTAAGTTAGTATTAATCACGTAGAAGAACTAGGAAAGGGCTGTTCCATCAAAATTTGGGAAGGTGAAGAAAGTGAGTATGTCTTCAGAGAACCATTAATAGCAATGAAGAAATCATTGTGAAATAAAGTAGAGACTACCTTTGAAACCAGTAAAGAATTCGGATCAGGGTATAGTTTTTCTTAAAAAAAAGAAACAACAGGGAAGTAGAACAGTGATCCATCAAAAATAATAACATTAGAAGGAATATCTGTCTTAATTTGAGAATGCAAAGGAGCAGAAACTTATTTAACATTCATCTGTTCCAGAAAAAACACTAACTTTGTGTAATGAAAAAAGTTAGTGCCAGCCCTTCAGCTGAAGCAGTGTTTCACTAGCTGTCATGCTGACCAAAATAAGTGATGTAAGATTTGAGGAATTGGTCAAAAAAAGAAAAATGCCTGATGTGGTGAAAACATGTCTAGAAGGATGGCATACAGTTTACATTGGATCCCAGGACTTTACATTGGTTTTGTTGAGTCCAAAAAGACAAGTTAAATAGCTCGTACGACAAGCTATTTGGTAGCCAAAAGATTAGATTAATGAAGTCCACCCAGATCAAAGTGACATTTTCCTTTGAGAGGTTACCAGTGGTATTTTCAGTTGATAAGCATGCCCAGAGATTAAGGTAGCTGACACTTAAACTCCGTAGTTACCATTAACCTGGCCATTTCAGTCAAAACTGATGGTTGCGTCAAGAACAGCTGCTTTTGAAAAAGCATGTTTCTCAAGGACATTTTGTAACATGCGCACATAATGTCTCTGATGTCGAAAGAAGACGTAAGTATTCTGGAATGTCTCTGAAGAGAGTGGTGGGGACAAAGGGAATAAAGACCAACTTTTAGGACAGGACTTGCACTGGTTTGCTTGTGGGTCTGTCTATGGTTATAGATGTGGATTGGCAACAAATAGGTGGTTTTAGTCTTAGAATCTGCTGCAGTAAAGATGAAATGGTGCAAAATGTTTTTTCTTTGACATAAAGCATATCGTTATCTAATGCATACATTGTTTTTACAGCTACAGAAATTTTCCAGTTGTAGAACCCAGCTGGTCAATGCTACGTGATCCAAGATCATATCTGTGTAATTTCTTAGGAACAGTTTATAAGAACTCTTCTAGGGAAACCCTAATGGAAATTCTGAAGCAGGATGGGCTTGATAAGCTTTGCTGGATTGCAGCCAGAGATCAGTAAGACTTTGATTTACTTTGTGAAAATATTCAGACTTTTTTGCCTAGTTCATTATTACCAATCCTTTCCTGAGTGTTAAAAAATAGTACAGCTAAAAGTAACCAGTCATCATTAAAAGAGAGAACATTGCCGAGACTCTTTATATAGGTCTTCATAACGTAATGGCCTTTCTGTTGCTATGTTTTACATAAAGCATATTTTTAAATACATAGAAAAATCTCCTATGTATACTACATATAAAGACAATCTTTTTTTCTTGTATACATTTGATTATGGTGGGAGAAGAAATGTTTGTCTTGCACCTTGTGCGTATTAATGTCTTACTAGAAGAAAAGGGCAGCTGTGTTCCATATAAGAGAGTGGATTTAATCTGTACGGCATGGCTCTTCTTTCTTTCAAGTAGGTAGAACAGATCTTCTGACTAACAGGAATAGGGTTCTGATTGTATTTCTTAATTTTGCCAAGCAACACCTGTAAAATGTTTGATAGCAGGCACATCAGTGCTTAGGAAGACCTCAGCTACCCTGATGAAGAATCTCAGGAGATGGATTGTATCTGTGACATAAACTCGTATCTCACAGATGTTCTGAGGCACTTCAGGCAGATGGATTCAGGTTAACGGATTGCTCTACATCCTAACTTTTGAAGAGCAGACCTCTACTGATTTAAAGTATTTGAGGTCAAAAAAAATTCATTAAAAAGTCCATCAAGTGTCTCCCTGTATGTCTATTTCTGAACTCTGCTGTGAAGTAAATTGACATATGCGTCATCCAAGTCATGCAGAAGATTTAAAATGGCGTTTCAATTTGCCTCTTACACTTCTAAGTATTAATAATTTCCTAAAAGGACCATATCTAAAAAGTGTTACAGTCTATTTTTAACAGTGACATTTTCAATAAATTTTTAGAAGACTCTTTAAGAATAGTTAAGACTAAAAGTAAAAGCCTATTGATTGTGTGTGTAATATAAAATTTTTACATTGACAGCATTTTCAGTTTTATAAATAATTGAAATAAAAGCGTATCTCTATTTTTTCATTGCAGTGCCTGTGGGAAAAATGCTAATTTTCAACCCCTTTACTTTCCTAGGTGGCAGCCTCAAGAAACAAATGAAAGTTTCAAAAACTATCAAGATGCCTTGCTGCAGAGTGATTTGACATTGTGCCCAGTGGGAATAAATACAGAATGCTATAGAATTTATGAAGCTTGTTCATATGGATCTCTGCCTGTTATAGAAGATGTAATGACACCGGGTGATTGCGGAAATTCATCAATGTACCACAGTGCTCCATTACAATTACTAAAAACCATGGGGGCTCCATTTATCTTTATTAAAAACTGGAAAGAGCTTCCTGCTGTTCTAGAGAAAGAAAAAAAAATGAGCTTACAAGAAAAGATTCAAAGGAGAAAAAAGCTTGTAGAATGGTATCGAAACTTCAAAGCATGGATGAGACAGAAATTCATTAATACTTTGGAAAATTCATTTTTGCCCAGTGATAAAGGATAAATTGTCCCTTTTGAAAATCTAGACTAGATTGAAAGCTTAATTTCCATTAACCTTCCGTGGAAGCTTTTATACAAAAGAAATCTCACAGGGCAGATGCATTCCTTTTGAAGTCAACAGAATTGCGCTAGCTTGGCCAAGAGCTACGTTCGGCCCTCCATCCTTAACAATTTTCAGAGAGGTTGTTGACTTAGCAGGGTGGTAGTCTGTAAGGATGACAACAGTTTTATTACTAGTCTTACAATTTCCATGTTGGTGTGTGACCTGATAAATTTTTTTTTTAGGGGAATATCTTTGCGCATGTGAACTTGTTAAAATGCAACATGAGTACAACAGTTGTGTTTGAAGAAGAGAGAAGAATGAAAGCTGTATGGTACAGAGTAATTTATTATGTAGACTAAAGAAGAAAAGTATGATTATAGCAAAATTGCCAGGTTTAGCACAATCATTAAGATACATCCTGGTAAGTGCTTGTTTTGAAAATGTGAACTGTTTACTTGATTGACATTTCATTTCCAAGAAAGTGGCCATAAAGCTAATTAAACACTGTGGAATAAAAATGTATATTTCAAGGTAAAAAAAGAGAAGTCTTTCTTAGAAATATTTCTTAGCAATATATTTCCCCTTCAATTTCAGATATCAAAATTGCTTTCTTTCATTTCCATTTAGTCTTGGGACAACACCTTTCTGAAGTTCTGCTGCGGGAGATTCATTACCTGCAGTTAACAGCTGCGCATTCTGAACACCAGGCCTTAAACATGAATTTCTTTGTAGCTTATCTGATTTCTCAAAAGCTGCTGAAACTTGTCAAATCCAAAAGATGGCAGAAGCATAATACTGCATGTTTATGATACTACATGTACAACAAACAGTTTCAACCGTTTTTGTTAAATGTAGCCAAAGGGATCTGTTACTGTTCTTGTACATCAGACGTGAGCGTGTGCTGTTACCTTCAGTGTGTTCGGCTGAGCGGTGTTAACTGCACACACAACGCTGGCGTACTGAAGGTGGTGCAATAGCCAGTTTTCTGTCTTTAAAGCTCAGCATGCCATATGGGTTCCTTCTCATGCAGGAATTCAAAAGCCGGTGCAACTGTACTGCTCAGTAATATTAACATTAAGAGTGGCTGTGGACACATGGTGTAAACTGTTTAAAAGATTGGCTTCTAGAGAGCAATATGTTTCCAAAGAAACTTAACCAGTCTTTGTAACTGTTGGTAATCCTGTAGATAAGGAAGTGGCTTGCAAAGGATCCGGCTGCTGATCGCTTACCATTCTTGGACATTTAAGTTGTGATAATATATTTCAATAGTTAGCTTTTCTGGTATTTTTAGATACTGTCTTTCAATGACTGAAACTTACACAAGGAGTGATACAACTAGGAGTTTTGTAGAAGCCTTTCTCACAGCAACTATTAAGTGTGAATTAGGATCGCTATGTGCTGGAAGTTTCTCTCTTGGCTTATTGCCCTCACCAAAACACTTGCAAAACCACAGAAATAAAATCCTGTTACTTCTTGGCAAACCTTGCATGTTAGTAATAACCTCTAAGAGCTGGGCAAACTCAGAAGCAGCTTCCATAGTTCTAAAATATTTCCAGGAATTCTTCCTACTGGGATGGGAGAAATGAATGACGGTTGAACAAGATTATGCTTATTTTGGCGTGTTCATAAAGACTGATGTTTGGAGAGACAGAAGTATTTCAAATGCAATTCCAACCGTGCCCTAAGAAACTGTTGCTTCGAAGAAAATTGCTACCATAAGGAATGTCAGGACTGCCATTTTCCAGTAGCTAAGAAGGAGTTTAGTGTTTGTGTAGTGCTGTGAGTCCTACACAAAGGCTTTGATGAATCGGCCAAAAAAAAAAAGCTGACCTGATGAAAATGTGCCTGAAAGGATGATGTACAGTTCACATTGGATCCCAGGACTTTGTGGTGTTTTGGGGTTTTTTTTGCTTTCTGAGTCCACAAAGATAAGTTAAATAGTTTGTACGATAAGCCCTTCTGGGATCACTCCAAAGTGATGCTATAAAAACCATGCTGTGCAGCAAAAGTGACAGTGGTTCTCAACTCTTCTTCTCATCCCAACAGCTTATGCAGTTACAAAGAATTGCATAGATTCCTTACTAATCACCAGTCCATAAATCATGACCGATAATCCTCTTGATAGGGAAACAGCTTGCAAAAGGTCACGTTACCGATAGATACTTAAACTCTTCAGGTGGGTCAAATTTCAGGATTTCTTCAGTGTCTCCTGAACAATAAAAACCAGTAAATGGGTATGTATTTTTATCTTGTCAATATAAATACTTTTCACATCTTTACTACTAATCTGAGCATGGAGGACTGCTTTGAGTGTTGAAGTCTCTCCATGCGACTAGTTTTAAAGAACGTAAAAGCTGAAAAGGCACTAGAGGTGAAATCCGAGGGCCAAGAGGAATGCTAATCAGAGAAGGATTAATGCCTGTGTACATTTCTCATGTATTTCATTCAAAGTGTTTAAGAGAAAATGCATCTGAGAACTGGGAACTACACAGCAGTAAAATGGTGAGGCAAAGAGTTTCAAAACAGGCGTTAGTCCCCTAGTGTCTGGTGTTTCAGTGTGGCTAGTATTTTAAGTGTCTCTGGTTCAAGATCCCATAAAGAGGCCTCAGTCTTCAGAGGAAACTGCTGCATGTTTTGAAAATCAAGAACCTTATAAGATTTCTCTAGTTCAGTACCCAAAAGCCGCTGCCTGGTTTTGAGAGGCTGGCCACACAGGCAGGTATTTGTATGGTAACATCTCTTATCTCCTAGTTGTGTTGAGTGCCCTGGTGGCACACGCTTTGCTATTCACGTTTTCTTTGCACACCCTTGGGATGTGAGTGCAACTCGGTGAACGCCGCTATAGTAGAATACAAGATGTTTCTGATCCATAGTCCCACAACACAGATGCGTTTTGTCAAGCATGCCATGAAATAACATGACTCATTCTCTCAGCCAGTCTTATACCAGCTTAATCATAGAAGGATAGCTTTAGGCAAGTATCCTCAAATTGCTTCCTCGTTGATATTCTGCACAGTCCCATCTGACAATGCAACATTTCTGGTTTTCAGGTGGCAGCATTCCCCGTTCCTGTGGTCTTCATTTTTTTCATCTTCAGGAATATATAATTTGTAGCTTGGGCTGCATTTTTAAAACAAACAGGACAGAACTGAAGTATTATGCACGGTTTCCATTAAATGGGTGTTTTCAGAAGATACGAGATGCAAAATAAATGCATCAAACAGAAATGAGTCATTCACTAAGATCCAGATGAAGACACAGCCCATTGAAAGACAGCAAGTTGTGCAGGTGGCCACAAATAAAGAAAAATGGATGTCTGAATGACTGAAATTAGCCTGATTCTTTCAGATGAAGTTACTAAAACAGCAGAAATCTGTTAAATGTCATATTTCGAAATTTGCTATATCAAAGGAGTTTTGTTCAGGGCCCAAAATGCAGGGTTTCTACATAAGTGATTTCTTTCTTTTCATGTTTTTCCCTCTGCAATGGAGTTCTTTTCTGAAGATTAAGGGTAGTCCCCAGCCATGAGAAGAGATCCACCTTAAATAATATTTACATAGGAGATGCTGAAACATCTTCCTCTGTGGCTGTGTATTTACTACTTTTTAGTATTTGTGACAACCCTTGTTGGCAATGAGGCTACCACGGTGCTAGGTGCTGACGCACAAAATACTCTGGGACGTGAGATACCTGGCTTCGAGCCTTTGGTCCAGCTTCGCCAGAGCAGGGGCGCTGCCCCTGCCACTGCCCAGCTGCCGTTTCAGAAACACGACCGCGGGGAAGGTCTGTGTTGAATGTCTTTGCTCCTACTTTTGACTGCGGGGGGCGGGGGGGGAGGTTTGCTTTGTCATGGTGGAAAGCTGGGAATAATAGATCTTGAAATTTGTGAGACATGGAAACAGTCCTATGCTGTAGAAGACAGAGTAAACCATCTCTGTCTGAAGAAACTCGAAAGACCCAAAGAAAGAATCTCTGACAGGCTTTAGCACAAAACCTGATTATTTTTCTCTTCTCATCCACTTCCGCTTATCTCTTTCTCATACTAATCATGCTTTCTGTTGAATGGCATTTCATCAAAATCGCGCTACGCTGGAATCATTGAAACTATTTGGACAGGAAGATCTGCCGTGTAATGGTGGAACATAGCAACAATGTTTGGACCTTGCTTGATGTTAAGGAGTTTTACAGGAGAAGTGATACTCCAAGATGAATTTGAAGATGTTCCATATTCAGGACAGGATTGTATCGCTATTTAACAACCTTTTATTCATCACAATGTGCGAAACCATGCATATATTAGGAAAGGTGCTGTTTCACTGAAATTTATACTGTTATAACAGTGCTGAGCAAATTTAGTAACTGAACTAAACTTCAAGATAAAATAGTAGATTTTGATAGCCTTACTACTTTGTTTGCTAGTAACATAAATGAGGCAATTGCTGCTTCAGGTGTAGCACAAAGATTTCTTTATATCTGTAGACAAAAAGAATTGTATCAGAAGCTATATCATTTTTTTTAACAATATTCTGTTGCCTGCTACCATTGGGTATGTGGGAAGTAGGTAGTTTGATTTCAAGAGAGTTAAGTCTTAATTTCCAAAAACACAGCCCAGTGGACTTCAGCTCATGGATTCTCTTTGAATATGGATCTCCATATTCATTCTCTGAATATGGAGGTGGAGAATTAAGGACAGCTCTGTTCCCCTAAGGGGAAGTGGAATGTACTGATTAATTGCCATAGGAATTTAAATGGTGCTTCACACTTCCTTCAAATGCTGGCATAGATTTAAGACAGCCAGTGACGTGTGCTCTCTGGTATGCAGTCTTTAATTGCATATTCCTTATTGCTGGAGGGTTCAGTTTATTCATTTAATAGTGATTTATCAATCTCTGTCAACACAACCCTTTGCTGATGATTGTAGAGTATCATGATTGTTTTACAGTGAAAGCTAGTCTTACTAATGCTAAAACTGAAGACAATATACCATCTGATGAGTATACAAGCAGGAATCTGCAAGTTATGCCATGTTGTACCAATTTTCCTTCCTTCTCCTGTCTAATCAGACTCTGATTGTTTCTTCTTGTATGTCTCTTCTCTTTGCTTTTTTCTCCCTGTGAACTGATTTTACCCAGCTGACCCTCTTTTCACATTGTTATTTTCAGATTATAGCAAATTGCTTTCTATCTGGTAGGGATATAATTTCCTTGTCCCCGTGGAGAATTTCTACCAGGTACCCAATCTCAGTGTGGATGTAATCAGGCTTTTGCTGAATTTCTGCCTTAGCAAAGCTCTTGCTGTGACACAGCATGCTGCCAGAATATCTCACTGTAGGTTATTACGTCATATGAGTGCTTGTTTCTTAAACATTTATAGTCTGTTGTTTAAGATTTTTGACTGTCTGTATTAAAAGTTCAGTGAAAAGGATTATGTTTGTAGGAGCAGAAAAGAGGACTAACTTCAAACGTCTCTTTGCTTTCCATTTTACAGCAAGGAATGCTCTTCATTCCCTGAATGAAACTTCACATGCAACTACAGATACCTGAACACAGCTTATGGTGTTTGACACCGAAGTCTTAGACATTGGCTCATGACTTTTGAGATCTGAATTTGGTTCCTCACAACAGAAGTTACCAAGGGCCAAATCCACCAGAGGATATTCACGTCCAGTGTAAAACCTAGGGCAGGTCACTTCTGCTTAGATTAACTGTCCAAAGGACCGATCCTTTGAACTGCTGCTAGACAGCCTGTGGTGCTTGGCCTGCTGGTGAGCTGTGAAACACCACAAAGCGGTCCTTAGCACTGTTGCTTTTTTTGTTCCTCAATTGCAAATGCACTTTCCCCACATGCAGGTAAATACAGAAGTTCCCCCTGCTGCCAGTGTTCGTGGTGAAACAAGACCACTTCGTTTGCTACTGATTTTCCGTAAAGCATTTACAAACATGAAATATAACTTTGTTAAAAAATTTATCTATGTGATAAGTATTTTACTATTATTTCCTCTGTTGTCAAAGAGCAGTATGATGTAAGGTGGAGGCTAGGCTCTCCCCCTCGCCCCCCAGCTGTTGCATGCTCCCTTGGTTTAAAACCTACTGGTTACTCCAGGGTTCCCACACTCTCACCAGTGGAAACTCCTCTACTTCTGTGCCTCCACATGCCCCTGAGTTCCCCAGTCCGGTCAGGGCTGAACGACTCTACGCTTACCTCCAGCCAGCTTGCGCTCCTCAGACTATGTATTCTCATGCTCATTTCCCTCAGGGCCCCTTACACATGCCCGCAGCATGCCTAATGCACACCTCTGGGGTTGGATTCTTCAAAAAGAAAAGGCAACCGGTTTTGTTTTTTGTTCAGAAGGCAGCACTTCAGCGGGAGGGGATTATGCCTGTTCTTTCATGTCACTGTTCAGCGGTGAGAGCACTTCCCCAAGATGTGTGAGAGTTGGGCTCAGTTCCCTTCTCCACCTGTGAAAACTTGAACGCACATGTTCCAGCTCCCAGAATGAAAAATGCACTAAGTGCCAGCATAGACTGGATTTGGCCTTTCTCCATTTAAAGTCATCCCACTCTTCACAAAGCCTTCCAGTATTCACTGGGATAGCGAATATGCATGTATTGGTTATGGCCTCCGTCAAGAGGACAGGCATCCTGAGTTCCTGTCTCTGTTCCAGATGTTCATGTACTTCACATAGGATAATCATTAGATAAAACACCAGTTTCCCATCACTTGTTGCAAGCCCCCTTCTTGTAAGGCAACTCACTTTTGTGGGGACTTAGATGCTTAACTCGGTACGAGGGACTCCACTGCAGAGATCACACACCTAAGTTGAACACTGCAATGCTGAGCATAACGCCACTTAAATGCCCCAGCCAAACCCAGCTCAGCACACCTCTGTGCCCCTGGTCCGGTATAAATGAGAGACGCTACACCTATATAGCATAAACCAGTGCAGGGCTATAAGCTTAGATCTGAAAGCTGCATTGCTACATCCCTCACGCATCCAAATGTGGTGGTATGTCCACAACCCTCGCAGAGGGGCTCGCGAGGAGCAGCAGCACAATGTGCGTAGCAGTCCCCCGGCTAGCATGGTTGCCACTGGCTGCGGTTCTTGCCACACGCCTGCAATGGCAATGTGAATGTGGAATCAACTTAAATATTGTTAACAAAAATTAGCTTATAAATATATATAAATATAACAGAGCAGCAGGAGTACTGTACCTTAATAGCAACTTATGAACTCCTGAGTTCAGCTCTGGCTCCACAACCCCCCTCGCTGCCAGTTTCCCTATTTGTAGACTAGTGATATCTCTCCCACTTCCCATGGATGCAGCTGTTGTGAAGCTGTGCTGATCTGCTGGCCTTTGGTCAGTAGGCTGATGATTCGGATTGTTGTACAAATCTGTATATGCAATCCTTGTGTGGGACAGCTATACATTTTTTAAACTTTGGGAGTTTGAGTGTGCCTTGCTATCAGTATCCCAGCAACTTCTACTCTTGGTTTGTATTTTCTGATTGTGATTTTATATATGGTTAACAAATGCATTAAAAATAACTTTTCTTAAACAGAGCTGACAACTGGACATAGTACTCTTCTGTGTAATACTTAAATCAAGCACTTAACCTGCTTTTGAGCCTATAATCAACAAGACATCTCTGCTGCATATAGCAACTACCAATGTCCCCCTTTTTCTCTGTTGACTTTAATTAGAGTGTTTCAGTTATTGATTGAACCTCTTTCATGCAACATTGAATTGTTTTATCAAAGGATCACAGCTTTTCCCTGTTGAATTCACGACCTACCAGTAACACCGGTGTCTTGATTGCTCTGATCTTTCATTAGAGGCGGCTCTTCTTCAGGGCTTTGGCTGATGTCGGTTCCTCAGACTGCAAAGTCTCATGGTGTAGTCACCCCCCCTCAAAGACGACTCATGATCATGCCTATCCTTCTGCTACCTTCTGCTACAAATAGAGGTAACAGATGGTACTGAAGGGAGCCATTATTTTGTTATGATCCAGAGTCTTGGAATGACCTTACATCGCTTTGATATACCTCATCTCAGTATGAGAAGTATAAATCTTTCAAAAACTTTGTTAACGATTTCTCAGCTGCTTAATGTAGCAAGCATAACGTAACGTTCATGTGAAGAGTGTGTTAGATGGCAAAACGCAAACGGCTGACTTGCAACAGTTCAGTAGGCAGAAAAGAGAGAGAGACAAATACACTCGCTGTATATTTTATGACCTGGCAG